CCAAGTTGCCCAAGTGGGTCTCAAACCCGCGGGCTCAGGCAATCCACTCACCTCAGCCTCCCAGAGGCGCGGGTTTACAGGCTGAGCCACTGAACCTGGCTGCCAATCCCTTTCTTATAGTATTAAGATAAATGTTCAGGATCCACTTATGAGCGAGAATATGTGGTACTCAGATCTTTGTTTCTGTGATAGATCACCGAGTATGATAGACTCTAAATGCATCCAAGTTGCTACGAAGTCCATAATTTTGTCCTTCTTTATGGCTGTGTAATACTCCATCGTGTATATATACCACATTTTTTGTATCCAGTCCACTTTTGATGGGCAACGTGGTTGGTTCCATGTTTTTACTATTGTGAATAGTGCTGCAATAAACATGCATGTGCAGGTATCTTTTTTTGTAGAATGATTTGAGTTCCTCAGGGTATATTCCCAGAAGGGGAATTACTGCGTCGTATGGAAGGTCGGTTTTTAGATCTTTTAGAAATCTGTTTTCCACAGAGGTTATACTAATTTACATTGCTACCAACAGTGTAGAAGCGTTTCCTTTTCTCTGCATCCTTTTCAGCATCTGCTGTTTTTTGAATTATTGATGTTGGCCATCCTGACTGGAATTAGATGGTATCTCAGTGTGGTTTTGGATATGCATGTCTTTGTGATTAGTGAAGCTGAGCATTTTTTCATGTATCTGTTGGCTGCTTATATGTCTTCTTTTGAGAAGTGTCTATTCGTTTCTTTTGCCCACTTTTTAAAAGGGCTGTTTGCTTTTTTTTCTTTTGGCATGTTTGGGTTCCTTATAGATCCTACAGTTGGCAAATGTTTTTTCCCATTCTGTAGGCTGTCTTCCCACTCTCTTGATTGTTTCTGGTGCTGGGAAAACTGGCTGACCACATGCAGAAGATTGAAACAGGACCCTACCTATCACCACACACAAAAACTCTAAATGGATCAGAAACCTAAACGTAAAACTTCAAACTTTAAGAATCTTAGAAAATGTAGGAGATACCCTTACAGAAATTGGAATAGGCAACCAATTCCTCATCAGAATCCCAAAAGCCCATGCCATAAGAGATAAGATAGATAAGTGGAAATACAGGATTGTTAAGAACATATATATATATAATTTCTTTTTGAGTTAGAGTCTCACTCTGTTGCCCAGGCTGGAATGCAGTGGCATGCTCATGGCCACCACAGCCTCGACCTGCTGGGCTCAGGCAATCCTTCCACCTCAGCCTTCTAAGTAGCTGGGTCTACAGGCGCATGCTAATTTTTTGTGTTTTTGTAGAGACGAGGTCTTGCCAAGTTGCCCAGACTGGTCTCAAACCTTTGGGCTAAGGCAATCTTCTCACCTCCGCCTCCCAAGTGCTAGGATTACTGATATGAGTCACCATGCCCAGCTGAGGTATAAAAATGCAGAGTCTAATAGAGTAGTTACAAGCCACTGTGGCAATTGAGCCCTTGAAACGTGGCTACTACAATTGTGGAGCCATTTTTTATTTTAATTAATTTTAATTTCAGTTTAAGAACTGATACCTAAATGGAGCAGGGGGCATCTCTCCCTGCAGGCATGCTGACTTTGTCAGCACACAGCCTGCTTGTTTGTTCTCCAATTTAATTCAGTGATATTTCTAAACTTCTAAATTACCAGTTTCAGTCATTTGGTTTGTTTTCATATAATCACCAGGTGGTTGATTTTAACTCATACTGCATTCTAATTCTACAGAGAGATGTCCATTGTTTATGCTATTTTCTCATTTGTTTTTCTTTAGCTAGGCAAACATCACAAAGAGCTACAGAAATTGGTGGATACTTTGCCATCCATTAAGCACAAGGTAATTTTTTGGTTTTTCTAAATCGCTTGAAGTATATTTTATGTTTCAGTCTCAGAGTGGAGATATCACTAAAGCACTTTGAATTGGGAAGTGTGATTAGGTAAACTATATTCAACCTTAGAAGGAGACTTGCCATTTATGATGCTTGTGTTAAGAGAGCCCCTGACCCTGGATCACGTTGCAGGGGACAGAGGTGATTGGTTTTTGGGCACTGAGCTTTCTGGTTTTGCTGCTATCCTGCCGAGGACTCCGGGACTCAGGAACATACAGCTGTCCCCTCCTCTGCTCCGAACACCAGCTACTTCTAAGTCCTCGTGCACACACTCAGAACAGCCTTCTTTTCTCTAGCTACCCTTCCACAGACAGGGAGTGGAGAAAAGTTTTATAGAAACTTGGCTTGTCCAGCTGTAAAGGACAATGACTCATATCCTTCAGGTTGGATACTTTTGTGCAACCCCAAGATTAAATCTTCAATATTCAGAATCCCAAAGGAGCTGTTCCTTGGAAGTTCATACATTCTCTCTCCCTCCCTCTGTTTCCCACTTCTTTCCCTCTCCTTTCCTCTCCATTTCCCTTTTTCCCCGTTCTCTCCTTTTAGTCTAGGATTCTGGCTCCACCCGATTTGTATTTCATTTTTTAAAAAAAATCAATTCTCAGCTAGTCTCTGTTGAAGAAGTGAAACCTCCTTCTTCATGCACCAGACACTGTCTAATACCTCCCAATTCAGAAGAGACCACCTGCTGTAAACTCACTAGAATTGAGGGAGAAAATGGGTTTGGCTGGTTTTCTCATGGAAAAGTTTCAGAAATATACAGTTCATTGCAGAAACAGAACCTGGACAAGATTCTATTCTAAGCAGTGATTCGAGAAACTGTCCAGAGGTGCCTGGATCACTACTGGTCCCCAGACACCCCCCCTGAGAGTCATCACCTCGTCGTGCAGTTCCTAAGTGGTTTTCACCACTGAATAATGACCCAGTGACCCCTTCTCTTGACCAGGACACCCTTGTGGAATTTGGGTCCTTTGACCCTTCCTGCCTGATGCCCACCTGCCCAGATTACTGGACCTACTCGGGATCTCTGACTACCCCGCCCCTCTCTGAGTCTGTCACCTGGATCATTAAGAAACAACCAGTAGAAGTTGATCATGATCAGGTACTTTCTCTCCACACTTTCCATCTAAGGAAATCCTAGTATGCCCATGTAAGACAAGGCTGGGCTTAAATTGTGGCATCAGTTTTAACATCTTAGAATGCTTATAAATTTTTATTGAAGTATGCTAACTTCTTGTCTCAGCTTGGGCTTGAATTTGGGGATATTTCAAATTAACTAGAAAGAAGAGTTAAAATAAAGAAGAATGTAGACTTTCTACTTCTATATTGACAACTGCATATGTTTTATGCCTTGTATATTTTATGTAAATATTAATCTCAATATGAAATCAAGACTTTTAAATGGAAGAATAAAGGCTGGAGATGGGTATGTTCAAAGCTCTTTAAAATCCTTAAGGAAGTTTTGCTATAGAATCTCAGCATAAAGACAGAATCTAACAATATCTGTCGAGAAATTTTAACATAGGTCAATTTTTTTGAACTTGGAATTTATTTTTACCTTAGAAACTAAGTCTAAATTTTGTGTTCTTTACAATGTCAATAATGCAAACTCCTGTATAATTTATAATATAACTAAATGACAATGATATTTACTCATACTTGTCTTATGGGATTTTTACTGCTTACAAAGTTAGCATTTTTATAAGAACAAAGGCTTCCAAATCATTTTTATGAGGTCAGGATAGCCAATACCCATCAAAGATTGGACCTCCTTCTGAAGAGTATAAAAGAAAAAAAAAGCTAAAAAAAATTAGAAACAAAATACAGCAGTACATTAGAAGAAATATATACTTTGTTCAAGTAGCTTTTACTCCAATAATGCAAGGATGGTTTGCTGTAAAGAATAATATTAATCTAATTCATTCTATCAGTGAATCTAAATATAAAAACTATGTTATTCTCGGAGATTTTTTTTTTTTTTTTGAGTTGGAATCTCACTCTGTCACCCAGACTGGAGTGCAGTGGCCGCTTCTGGCCACCGCAGCCTCAACCTGCTGGGCTCTGGCAATCCTTCCGCCTCAGCCTTCCAAGTAGCTAGAACTACAGGCGTGTGCTACCACACCCGGCTCATTTTTGATTTATTGTAGAGATGAGGTCTCACCAAGTTGCCCAGGTGGGTCTCGAACCCACGGGCTCAGGCAATCCACTCACCTCAGTCTCCCAAAGTGCTGGGATTATAGGCTGAGCCACCGAGCCCGGCTATTTTCGGAGATTTTGTAAAAGACATTTGCAAAAATCACCATTCTATTTTTATTTTTGTCAGCATCTCACTCTATTACCCAGGCTGGAGTGCAGTGACATGATCATAGCTCACCACAGCCTCAACCTCCTGGGCTCAGGCGATCCTTCTGCCTCAGCCTCCTGAGTAACTGGGACTACAGGTTCATGCAACCACACCCAGCTAATTTTATTTTTTTGTAGAGACGAGGTCTCACTGTGTTGCCCAGGCTGATCTTAAACTCTGGTCTCAAGCCATCTTCCCACCTTTGTCTCCCAAATTGCCGCGATTATAGGCATGAGCCACTGCACCCAGCAGTTTTTAAAATTTTTTAATAAAAGAGAGGTGAATGGAGACTCTTAACTTGATAAGAGAGATTGATCTCAGTTCAATAAAATGTACTATGTTTAATATGGAAAGACTTATTATATTAAAAGTTTTATATTAAATTATATTCTGCAACTGGCCAATATAATTAGACCAGAATATATATATATATATATATTCTTTTTTGAGTTGGAGTCTCACTCTGTCACCCAGACTGGAGTGTAGTGGCCGCTCCTGGCCGCCACAGCCTCGACCTGCTGGGCTCCGGCGATCCTTCTGCCTCAGCCTTCCAAGTAGCTGAATCTATAGGCACACGCTACCACGCCCAGCTAATTTTTTTAAATTTTTATTTATTGTGGAGATGAGGTCTCGCCAAGTTGCCCTGGCGGGTCTTGAACCCACGGGCTCAGGCAATTCACTCACCTCAGCCTCCCAAAGCACGCGATTACAGGCTAAGACACCAAGCCCGGCTTGACCAGAATATTTTTTAAATAATAATAATAAATTAGATCCCAACACTCTGGGAGGCCAAGGTAGGAGGATTGCTTGAGCCCAGGAATTTAAGACCTGCCTGGGCAACAAAGTGAGACTTTATCTCTACAAAAAAAAATTTTTTAAAAATTAGCCAGGCATGATGGCACACACCTATAGTCCCAGTTAGTCAGGAGGCTGAGGTGGGAGGATCACTTGAACCCAGGAAGTCAAGAGTGTGATGAGCTGTGATTGTGCTACTGCACTCCAGCTTGAGCAACAAGCAAGACCCCCAACTCAAAAAAAGATGAGATTTCTGAACGTCAGAGAGACGAAGTAAGTCGTCCTTGGTAAATGTCTGAAATATGAGGACAGGGCCTTTGCCCCTAGTCTTTGTATACCAAGTATCCCGCTGGTTTCATCACTGACTGCTGCCCTCCTGCCCACACAACGATGACGACAATGATGTTTATTTTCTGTCTAGTGGAGAAGGCATTCTTACCCAGAAACAAGTTCTCTTGTTGTTTCCAAGTTGAGACAAATGTTTCAGAGTTGTAAAAATGAAAGTAATTTATTCATGAGGTAAAACTGGTTTTCTATTAAAATTATTTATGCTTTCTGTTTATATTTCCAGCTTGAGCAATTTCGGACCCTGCTTTTCACTTCTGAAGGGGAGATAGAGAAAAGAATGGTAGACAACTTCCGCCCCCTTCAGCCCCTGATGAATCGCACTGTCCGCTCGTCCTTCCGTCATGATTATGTGCTGAATATACAAGTGAAACCCAAGCCAGCAACCAGCCAAGCAACCCCCTAAGACAGTCATACCTAGGCAGTATTTTGCTTAATACATACTACCTTTTAAAAATTGTTAACTAGACTATTCTAAATGCTTGCATTTAATAATGGTTATAGTTGTGTAGTTCTTGGTATGAGACTGCATCATCAGTTTTTGAGGAAAGCCATTTGGTAAACAGATTCTTATTTGTTTAACAAGTGGTAAGGTGCAGACACTGACCATCCAGAACTCAGGCCCTTCAGAACAAGCCTCAGGGTCCAGATTGGTACTTCCTGGCAGAACATTGGCCACAGTTTTAGGTATATTTTATTTCAAAACATGACCATGTATTATTTTATAAGGAGAATGCTTGTCCCAGCCTTGAATTGTCATTACTAGTACATGATAAGCTTACTTACTACTAATTTATGATATAGAAAATATATTTTCTAATTATAAGAAAATGAAGACTTTATCTGGAAATACTTTTGCATTTTTGAAGATAAGATATTTTACTTAATGGTGTAACCATATAGAGACCATATGTAGAACATTTCAAAGAAAAGGCCTAAAGTACCTAGAAATTAGAATTCTTTCATGGTACATTTACAGAAATATTTTTCAAAGGACTAGTAATCTAATAGTCTATAATTTAGAAGATTATTTTATATTATTTGTACACTGTTACATAGAATATAATGCTACTATTTTCTACACTGAAAGAGCTATCCCGGCTAACCTTTACAACTGTCTGAACTTTATTTACTCATTAGTCAAGGTATTTTGAAAGGCACGTGATCAGCTTCAATCTCCCAATTTATACAGTGGTTTAGAAAACTTTTGTTACAATAATAAGGAGAGAAACTTGTCAAATAGGCTAAAATCTAGATAAATCTGCATATTCTGAGGCATTCATGCCACTATTGCTCTTGCTTATAAATGTCTTGGAATGTTTCCATATGCCTCTAAGCTTATGTTGAGATTCGATGTTGTATCAATAAATAGTAGTATTTCTTTCATTAATAGTCATCAAGTCTTCAAGAGAGGTTTGGATGGATATACTTAACACTACTGAACTATACACTTAAAGATGTTAAGATAGAAATGGAACTAGATCAAACTTTAAAACTTGTGTCAAAGGAAGCAATCAACAAAGTGAAAGGGCAACTCCTAGAATGGGAGAAAATAATTGCAACTTATATATCTGATAAAGGGTTCATAGCCAGAATATATAAGAAACTTTGTAACTCAACAACAACAAATAACTTGATTAAAAAATGTGGAAAGGGCTTGCATAATTATTTATTCAGAGAAGATACACAAATGGACAATAAGAATGCATGAAAAGATGTTCGACTGGGCGCAGTGGCTAACACCTATAATCCCAGCCAGCAGTTCAAGATCAGCCTGGGCAACATAGAGAGACTGCGTCTCTACAAAAAAAAAAAAAATTAGTCTGGCATAGTGCTCACACCTATAGTTCCGGGTACTCAAAAGGCTGAGGCAGGAAGATCACTTGAGCTCAGGAGGTTGAGGCTGCGGTGAGCCGTGATCTTGCCACTGCACTCCAGTCTGGTGACAGAGTGAGACCTGACTCAAGAAAAAAAGAAAAGATGCTCAACGTTATTAATTATTAGGCAAACACAAATCAAAATCACAATGAGATATTATCTCATACTCATCTTGATTGCCACTATCAGAAGAACAATAAATGGCAAGTGTTGGGGAGGATGCAGAGAAGCCAGAACCTGGTGCACTGCTAGTGGAAATGTAAGATGGTGCACTGGTTATGGAAAACAGTACAGAAGTTCCTCAAAGAATTGAAAACAGAGCTACCATATTCAGCAATCTCACTTCTGTGTATATTTCCTAAAGAATTAAAAGGAGAATGTAGATGAGATATTTGCACACCCATGTTCGCAGCAGCATTATTCACAGTAGCCAAGAGGTGAGAGCAACTCAAAATGTCTATCAACATGATTAGATAAAGAAAATGGGCTGAGCCAGGCTCGGTGGCTCAGCCTGTAATCCCGCGCCTTTGGGAGGCTGAGGTGAATAGATTGCCTGAACCGGCGGTTCGAGACCCGCCTGAGCAAGTTGGCAAGACCTCATCTCTACAATAAATCAAAAACTAGCTGGGCGTGGTAGCACACGCCTGTAGTTCCAGCTACTCGGAAGACTGAGGCGGCAGGATCGCCAGAGCCCAGCAGGCCGAGGCTGCGGTGGCCGGGAGCGGCCACTGCACTCCAGTCTGGGCGACAGAGTGAGACTCCAACTCAAAAAAAAAAAGAAAGAAAGAAAGAAAATGGGCCAAGCCAGACTCGGTGGCTCAGCCTGTAATTCTGTGCTTTGGGAGGCCGAGGTGAGTGAACTACCTGAGCCACCTGGGCAACTTGGCGAGACCTCATCTCCTCAGTAAATCAAAAAATTGGCCGGGCGTGGTAGCGCGCGCCTGTAGTTCTGGCTACTTGGAAGGCTGAGGCGGGAGGATGGCCGGAGCCCAGCGGGTCGAGACCTCATCTCTACAATAAACCAAAAAATAAGCCGGGCGTGGTATCATGTACCTGTATTTCCAGCTACTTGGAAGGTTGAGGCAGAAAGATTGCCTGAGCCCAGCACTTTAAGGCTGTGCTGACTGTGAGCATGCCACTGCACTCCAGCCTGGGCGACAGAGTGAGACTCCGATTTAAAAAAAAAAAAATGGAGTATGAGGTGAAGGCTTTTATACATCTGCCCTATGAAATGCATAAAATTCTTAAAAAGATAAACATGGTAGGCCAGGCCTGATACCTCATACCTGTAATCTCAGCACTTTGGGAGGCCAAGGTGGGAGGATTACTTGAGTCCAGGAGTCTGAGACCAGCCTGGGAAGGATAGCAAGACCTCATCTCTACAAAAAAATTTTAAAAATTAGCTGGGCATGGTGCAGCATGCCTGTAGTCACAGTTACTCAGGAGGCTGAGGTGGAAGGATCGCCTGAGCCCACGAAGTCAAGGCTGCAGTGAGCTTTGATCATGCCACTGCCCTCCAGCCTGGGTAAAAGAGTACGACCCCGACTTAAAAAAAAAAAGATGAACTGTTAACTTGTTGCAATTCACCTGTTTCTAACTATAGTTACCTTGAAAAGGGTACACATGCAAGGTATGCATTTCCCAGGGCACACGGGCTTTTTCTCCTAGCCCTCCTGCAAACTCTTAGTGCAAACTCCATTGCAGTGAGCCTTCCAAATTGAAGGGAGAAATAATGTACAAAATGCCTGACTTGCCCTTATAGCTTAGAAATTTAAAGGATGTATTTCCAGCATGAGGGAACTATGTGCCCTGGTTTGCCACTCCTGATTTACTTATATCTAGTGTTCTGGCGTAATTATTAACATCACCCTCTTTCACTTTTAACAGTGTCCTGGCTTGCATGATAAATTATTGTTTACCTTCTCTGCAGAGGTTATGGAAACTGCCTTGCAGCGATTTCTTCCTCTATGCCTTAGTCCCATGACCCTCAAAGGGGCACTGTAGATTCCCTGACTGCGGATAAACCTTAACAAGAAATATTTAATGTTAATGCCCTCAAGTGTTTTACTTGTACTTTCTACACATGAAGGCAGAAAATAAGCCTAAAATCTGTCAAAGGTCTTGGGAAAGAAGTTTTATTAAAATTGCTGCTCATCTTCATTAAGTAATACTAGATCAATAAAATGCTTTCTTTACAATATTAATGGTTGGTGAATGACTTTTCCTTCCTGTTGTTTTGATGTATAAAATGAATGTAGCTGGGCACGGGGCTCATGCCTGTAATCCCAGCACTTTGGGAAGTCGAGACAAGAGAATTGCCTGCGCTCAGGGGTTCGAGACCAGCCTGGGCAACTTGGCGAGACCTTGTCTCTACAATAAATCAAAAAATTAGCTGGGCATGGTGGTGCTCACCTGTAGTTCCAGTTACTTGGGTGGCTGAAGTAGAAGGATCACCTGAACCCAGCAGGTTGAGGCTGCACTCCAGTTTGTGTAACAGTGAGACCCCGACGCAAAAAAAAAAAAAAAAAAAAAAGAAGAGATGTGTGTAAAATTAGTGAAACATCCTTTAACTCGTAAATCAGAAAACTCATAAGAGGTTTAATGGGGAAGTAATGGGAAGAAGCAGCCAATCGTCTTCAGCATACCTCTTTTTAAATTCTTTTTATTTTTTTTATTTTTTTGAGTTGGAGTCTCACTCTGTCTCCCAGACTGAAGTGCAGTGGCCGCTCCCGGCCACCCAGCCTCAACCTGCTGGGCTCCGGTGATCCTTCTGCCTCAGCCTTCCAAGTAGCTGGAACTACAGGTGCGCGCTACCACACCCAGCTATTTTTTTGGTTTTTTTTTAATTTATTGTAGAGATGAGGTCTCACCAAGTTGCCCAGGCAGGTCTCGAACTCACGGGCTCAGGCAGTCCACTCACCTCAGCCTCTCAAAGCACGGGATTACAGGCTGAGCCATCGAGCCCAGCTTTTTTTTAATTCTTAATTTTAAAGATGTGGGGTACAATTCATTTTAGGTATACAAATTTTCATTATGCAGGTATCCTTGTTGGTGAGGTATGCCCCCACCCCCAGCAGTTTCCCACTACCGCCAATCCTTTTCTTACAGTATTACAATAATTGTTCAAGGTCTGCTTATGAGTGAGAACATGTGATACTCAGTTCTTTGTTTCTGTAATAGATCACTCAGTATTATAGACTCTAAGTCCATCCAGGTTGTTGTGACGTTCATAATTTTGTCCTTGTTCATGACTGCGAAATATTCCATCATGTATATGTACCACATTTTTTTTTATCCAATCCTTTTTCAATGAGCAGCACAGTTCGTTCCATGTTTTTGCTATTGTGAATAATGCTGCAATAAACATACGTGTGCAGGTATCTTTGTCATAGAGTGATTTGAGTTCCTCCGTGTATATTCCCAGCAGGGGGACTGCGGGGTCATATGGAAGGTCAACTTTTAGATCTTTTAGGAATCGCCAAACTGTTTTCCACAGAGGCTGTATTAGTTTACAGTGTAGAAGTGTTCCCTTTCCCCCGCATCCTCTCCAGCATCTGTTGTTTTTTGAGTTACTGATGATGGCCATTCTGACTGGAGTTAGGTGGTATCTCAGTATGGCTTTAATTTTCAGCACACCTCTTTCTGCCACACAGTCCAGTGCACAGTCTGCTGGCATCATCTTATAGGGCAAGCTGCAGGCTCCCTTCTCCTTTCCCAGGGCCACATGGTGTGAAGCAAGCTCACTATGATTTGGTTACTAATTTGTCTGAGTCCAGTGAGACAGAACACACACTCACACCCAATAAGTTATAGGAAGTAGATTTATTACAGATGGGCAGCAGGGGACTGTAGACATGCAGGTTCCATTGTGAGCCAGTACCCCAAAGTTCAAGAAAGCTGCTTGGGGCAGGGTAGGTGGAGTCTCCACTGTATGTGCTCCACTTGCACCACAGCTGAGGGACCCCAAAAGGCAGCCTGACCTGGGTTATATACTTCAGGGGCCACAAAACTCATCGGGTAAAGCTTTAAAGGACATCTTGCTTCCAGGGGACAGAGTACCAAAGCCTGGCCGTCCTGGGCAGTTCCTCCCTGTCAAGATGTTACATTCCCTAGAAGGGACAGGAACAAAGCTGAGCTATTTCAGGCAGTTCTTCCCTATCTTAGTATATTGCACTCTACAGTTATTCTTAACCTAGCTGAGTGTGGTGACTCACACCTGTAGTTCCACGACTTTGGGAGGCCAAGGTGGGAGGATCACTTGTGGCCAGGAGTTCAAGACCAGTCTGGACAACATAACAAGACCTTGGCTCTACAAAAAAATTTTTAAATAGCCAGGTGTGGTGGCGTGTGCCTGTAGTCCCAGCTACTTGGGAGACGGAGGTGAGAGAAAAAGGAAAAAACAATTAACTACAAGTAAGAAAGGGGGGAGAACTACGTCGGTCCAAGGCTACCTGGGAATCTGTCTTGCATGTGGGTAAAGTTGGCTAGTCTAAAACCAGGCATCATCCCAAAGAAGTCTAGGAAGATGTCTTTCCCTATTAAATTCAAATGATGGTAATTATAGTTTGAAAGTGGAATTGGCTTTTAGAGTTACTTCTATAATGAAATTAACTTAAACAATTCAAGCATGTTCCTGAAAATGAATTCAGTGGTTAATTGTTGAAAATAAATGTCTAACTCCTATAAAAGGAAATTTACATTCATTTCTAACTCATAAAAAAATCAAAATCTACATCTGTTTTTTTTATAATTAGGAGTATCTTCCTAGGAGACATTCTTATTGTTCTGAAGTGAAAGTCTGATCTGACTCATAAGAAATGTTACAGCAACCCAAACACTGATGCTTTCAGAATGGCAGCAATTCTCAGCTTAGTTCTGATCACAGAGACCAACAGAATTGGTGACCTGCATAGCTACAACATTCTGTGCAACCCAGGGCATTCTCTAGCTTGGGGATACAACTGCCAAATCTTCACCTTCAAAGAGTTTAAAATTTAGTGCAAGAAGCAGACAGATGAAGGTGACAAAGTGCAGTATACTGTAATAGGTGTTGTGAATGGTGAAATACTTGTGCTGGGAGCACATGCAGCTACTAACCCACTCCTGAGGAAGTTTTCATACCGATGATGATGGTGGTGATGGTGGTGGGGGTGGTGGTGGTGGCGGTGGCGGTGGTGAAATAACAGATAAAGTATATCTGTTATATCACTCACTACTGCCAGGCACTGTGCAACATATAGCATGGGTTTATCTTGTTCAATCTTTACAACAAAAACCTTTTAAGATGGAAACTATTATTATGATCTTAATTTTTACAAATGAGAAAATGAGGACTAGACATTAAGGCATTTACTCAAGATCACAGAGAGCCAACTGATGCACTGAGCTAGACAATGTCAACTTGGCAGTGAAAGAGAACATGTGTTGGTTCAAGGGTCTCAGTAAGGGGGAGTAGGATGAGGCTTTATACAGGGTTGGGTTTCAACGGAATGATTCCTGAAAAGGATTAGGAAGAGGGAGCAGAGCAGTTTGGTAATTGGGTATCTCAGCAATTGTAATATGGAGGAGAGAGGAGCAAAGCTAAGCCAGGGAAGTTATTTGATCAATCAGAAAGATGAAAGTTGTTAGTCGTTTTGCAGCTGTAATGTGTCCTTAAGATAACATGTTTTCTTGGCTTTGTCTCTGCCCTTCTATGTATATATCAGTCTGATTATTAGCATGGATGATTTTTACTTTCTGAAGCCCTACTCTCATTGCCCCAGTCCAAGTCCTCATTACCTCTCACCGAGATTATTGTGATATTCCAGGGTATCTTTTAATTCTTTATATTGCAAGCCAAAGTCATTTATCTAAAATACAAATACAGCCACAAGCCTCTATTTAAAAGCTTTCAGTGGTTCGCTGTTGCCTATATAACGTAATTAAAATGTCTGAGTATGGCATACTAGGGCCTCCTCCACATCCTAGCCACCCAGCCTACCACTACCACTGTATTCCTTTTTGTTTGCTTGTTTTTGAGTTGGGGGTCTCACTCTGTCACCCAGGCTGGAGAGCAGTGGCACGCTCGTGGCAGCCTCAACCTCCTGGGCCCAGGCAATCCTTCCACCTCAGCCTCCCGAGGAGATAGGTCAACAGGTGTGCGCCACCATGCCCAGCTAATTTTTTGATTTATTGTGGAGACAAGGTCTCGCCAAGTTGCTCAGGCTGGTCTCAAACTCCTGGGCTCACACCTCCCGCCTCAGCTTCCCAAAGTGCTGGGATCACAGGCGTGAGCCACCACACCTGGCTAGTATTCCTTGGTACTCTCAAATTGCACCTTCAACTCGATTGTCAAAATCCTTGCTATTCCTGGCATATTCCAGTATCACCTCTCAGTGCCATTGTTTATACCGATCTGCCTGTAGTAACCCCATTCCTACCCTTCTCCGTCTAAGTCAAGGTCATCTTCCTTCAAAATTCAACTCCAGCATCAGAAAGCGCTCCTTGAATCCTCAAGTAGACTATGTTAAGTAAACCTCATCTTTGCCTTCACCATATTACCTTGTTTACGTATTAGTCCTTCTCTGTTCCTCGACTGTGAACGCCTCAGGGGCAGAAGCTACACTTTTGCCCCCTTAGGAGTTAGGTTCCCTTAAGGAGCCGCAACCGGAGCCGGAGCGGGAGTCGGAGTGACTGGCAGGGGGCGGAGTTTGGAGTTCTCTCTGAGGTATTAATAAGTGGAGCCACGGTAGGGGGCGGAGCCTAGAAAAGTAGACAGGCAGCGAAGCGGGCAGCCCAGTGTGGGATGATCCTTCACTAGGGGACGATGAGAAAAGAGGGGGAGGTATAACTTTAACCTCCTGGCCACACTGGGGGAATGCTAGGCGAAAATTGTTTCCAGAGTGGTGTAAGAGGCCCAGAGGATATTTTCGGGAAGGTGACATTTATTTGAGCAGGATTTTGGAAGACGAGCCTGAAGAAAACCTCCCCCACCTTCGGTTTTTGGTCCCGTCCGGGTGGTAGCCGCGGGCACTTGCGCCTGCGCGCGCCCTCTTCAGTGCTTCAGCCCGCCTGTTCCGGCCAGACCTTGAGGGGCGTGGCGTCGCTGGCAAGATGGCGGTGCCCGAGAAGGAAATGTTTCCAGTGAAACCGAGGTAAGCTCCGCTGGGGGAGATGTACAGGCAAGAAGAGGGGACGGAAAGGGCCGATCCTGGGCTTGGAGAATGTGCAAGCTTGAAGGAAAGAGAGGCTGGGCCTCCGCGGAGCGGAGCAAGCAGGTAGCGGATGAAGAAGACCTCCCGTCTGAGCCTGGAAGGATGAGGCGAAGATAGGTGAAGGTTCTGTAATTAGAACACAGGAAGCAAGATTTCTCTCCCGAGCACCCGAGCGATTTCTGTCTCTGGGCACAGAGGAGAGGGGAGGAGAGCCGGTGCAGTCGCTAACGCTGATGTGTATATCTTGATCTTCCAGCCACAAAAAGTACAGGGCCGCCCTGAAGAAGGAGAAGCGAAAGAAACGTCGGCAGGAACTTGCTAGATTGAGAGACTCAGGTAATAGACTTCTCATCCTTTTTTCTGTGTATGAAATTGCTCGCTCCACTCCTGTCCTAACTTGAAGCCCCACAGTTAGAAGGAAGTCGGATACTGTATCAAATGAAGAATTGCTGAGGCTGCTGTCTTCCAAGTAAAGTTATGTTAGACACGTCAGAAACAATGATACTATATTACAGAAGGGGAGGGAGAAGTCTTGGTGAATCATGGCCCACTGATTATGTGTGTTTATAAAGTATTTAGTATAGTATCTAATTAAGTATAAAGTAATATTAAATATCTAATATTTTACATTCCTAAGCATCATGAATTACAGCAGCTATCACATTCCTTGCACACGTAGTAATTATTTGGTGAATATTTTTCTTTGCAAAACCTACAGGAGTGGAAGGTTTTAGTTAGGCGTTTTGCAGGTTTTTCTCAAACTTGAGTAATATGAAAGACCCTTTGTTAAACTGGATGCAGTGGCTCACACCTGTAATGCCAGCACGTTGGGACAAGAATCCCTTGAGCTCAGGAGTTTGAGACCAGCCTGCGCAACAGAGGAAGACCCTGTCTTTAAAAAACATTAGCCAGGTGTGGTGGTGCACTACTGGGAGGATGAGGCAGGAGTTCCAGGCTGCAATGAGCTATGCACTCTAACCTGGGCAAGCGAGACCCCATCTCTATAAATAAAAAAAAAAAAAAAAAGGAGAAAGATAGAGACCCTTTGTGAACTCAGGCTGTTATCATGTTATTAATTAATTTGTTTATTTATTTTTGAGTCATGGTCCCAGTCTGTCTCCCAGGCTGGAGTACAGTGGCACCATCATGGTTCACCGCAGCCTCCAACTACTAAGCTCAAGCAATCCTCTTGCCTCGGCCTCTCAAATAGCTAAGAATACAGGTGCATACCACCATGCCTGACTAATTTTTTAATTTTTTTATGGAGACAAGTTCTCGCTGTGTTGCCCAGGCTGGTCTTGAACTCTTGGGCTTAAGCTATCCTCCCACCACCTCTGCCTCCCAAAGTGCTGCAATTATAGATGTGAGTCACCATGCCTGGCCATGTTATTTAAATATTTATACAATACTAGTTAAATGTATATACAATACTTATTTGACTATAAAACAATGTATTTACAAATTACCAAACCAAATGACGTTACACATCCAGTAAAATTTAAATCTGCATTAATGTAATGTAATGTGAAACAAATGCTCCTCACAACATGAATAGGTACTGATGGGAGTTTGGAATGCTCCTGCCACTGTTGCCCTATGATTATTAACTACTTTTCCATTAAACTCTTGTAGAACCTTCATTCGTACATCTGGTCATGATGCCATTTGGCCTTCACATTGGCAGAACCTAACATTTATATATTAAATCTGCCTGTTTAATGCGGTAACATTAGGACTTAGTTATAAAATTATATAGTTGTTATAAATGCAGGTAGGAGCACTGAAATCATACAGTAGTATTGGGTTATAATGGTTGTCATCCAGATTATCCATAATATGCATATTAAATTGTCCTAAAGAATTCTTGAAATCCAGACATCATGGCCTCAAGTAACTAGGATTCTTGGGCCTTGAGAAACATAGCCAAAGATGTTTCATTTATCATTGGAGTTCCTGAATAATTATTTTAGTAGTAGTACTTGAAATATTTAGAATGGAAGGAGCAGTGTGTTTACCTGCAACCTGTGTTAACGTTAGGGTGTGGTGTATATTAGCTCTTGAATTTCTCTAAGATCCATATCTTGAAACCCTTTACCCCCCGCCACCTTTTTTGCTATATCCATAATCTTTTTCAGGATTTCCTTGATTAACTCTGTTGTAAACCCTGTGAAGTCATACACACATCTAGACACAGTTTTCTCCAGCATGAATTTGTTTTGGGCTTGATGACTTTCAGTGGGTTTTTCTGTAACAACGATGGCATCATCAATGGTGTAATCCTTCTAGACTTTCATTATGCTCTCTCTATTGGATTCCCTTCCATAGTGTTGATACCCTTTGCATAGCGTACCATGTGTAATAAGCCTTAAAGTTTCTTATAGCTGGGCTCGGTGGCTCAGCCTGTAATCCCGCGCTTTGGGAGGCCGAGGTGAGTGGATTGCCTGAGCCCGCGGGTTCGAGACCCGCCTGGGCAACTTGGTGAGACCTCATCTCTACACAAATCAAAAATTAGCCGGGTATGGTAGCACGCGCCTGTAGTTCCAGCTACTTGGAAGGCTGAGGCAGAAGGATCGCCGGAGCCCAGCAGGTCGAGGCTGCAGTGGCCAGGAGCAGTCACTGTACTCCAGTCTGGGCGACAGAGTGAGACTCCAACTCAAAAAAAGAAAAAAAAGTTTCTTATGATCCCTGATCTAGAAGCTGATCCAGAAACACTGTGTTTGGGGGCAAGTCAACCACTTTGATGCCTTTGGTGTTAAACATGTGGTGTTTTAGGTGAGTAGGGGCATTGTCCAATATCAAAATAATTTTATTCTGTATTTATTTACTTGTTTATTTTATTTGAGGCAGAGTCTCACTTAGTCTCCCAGACTGGAGTGCAGTGGCATGCTCACAGCCACCGCAGCCTCTGCCTGCTGGGCTCAGGATTACAGATGTGAGCCACCACTCCTGGCTCAAAAGATTTTAAAAGACAATTTCTTACTGTTCAGGTATTTCCTGATTTCAGGGACAAAGTGTCAATTGAATCAATCCAGGAAAAGGGTTCCAGTTCTTGTCATACAACTAAGACTGGTTGTTTACTGCAGCTAATGTTTATCTTTTCCCTTCAAGGCTTGAGAGTTAGCAGCTTTATAGATAAGGGCAGTCCTGATCATAAACTTGCACCAAACTGTAGAGTTAGGCTTTTTGACTTAAATCCTAGTGCTTGCTTTCTTCCCTTAACAATAAATGTCCTTTGTGGGATTTTTTTTTTTCCCCAGAGTAGGGCACTTTCATCTGCATTAAAAATCTGTTCAGGCAGATATCCTTTCTCCTCAATGATTGTCTTTTTTATTTGTTTTTTTAGTTTAGTCCAGTTTTGTTCGTTCTTTTGTGACAGGGTCTCACAGTGCAGTAGTGCTATCCCAGCTTACCACAGCCTTGAACGCCAGAGCTCAGGTGATCCTTCTGCCTTAGCCTCCCGAGTAGCTGGGACTACAGGCACATGCCACTACACACAGCTATTTTTTTTTTGGATTTTTTTGTGGAGACTAAGTCTCACTATGTTTCCCAGGCTGGTGTCAAACTTCTGAGCTCAAGCAATTCTCCTGTTTCGGCCTCCCAAAGTGCTGGGAATACAGGTGTGAGCCACTGTGCCTGGCCTTCAGTGATTTTCTTAATAGTGTCTGAGAACTCGTCTGCTGCCTCTTGGCTGGCAGAAACGAACTTCTCCAGCTATCTTGATTTTTGTTATAGCTAAACCTATTTCCAAAATTACCAAATCATACTTTGCTGGTGTTAAATTCTTTGGCTTTAGATCCTTCACCTTTCTTCTGCTTTAAGCTGTCATATAATGACCTCCCTTTTTCTTGAATTATATTAGAGTCTACAGGTATGCCTTTCTTATAGCAATTTTGCACCCTCATAAAGCTGCATTTTCAATACCAGATAAAAAAGGTAATTCACAAAAATTGCAACGTTTTTGCACCTACTGGCATAGCTGCAGTGATGACTTCATAATTTCCTTTTATTTTTTTTACAATGGTCCTTACACTGGTTCATTTATCTTGAAATCATGGACAGCCACAGCTGCAGACCTCAATCTATGGTACATATTAAGCAATTCAACTTTTTCCGGTAATGTCATGACTCCTCTCTGCTTCTTGGGAGCACTTCCAGCATCATTAGTGGCATGTCCTATTGAGTCCCATGGTGTTATTCAAGGTTTATAGTATTTTACTAAACATGATGAAAAGTACACCAGAGATCACTTTTTACTGCCATAGGCAATTTACTGGCAAGATGAACTGCTCACAGGGACATGATTAGGGTCACGTGGCATTTTAAGAGGATACTCAACACTAGAGCTCGCCATAGTAGCAACAAGTGGTAGCTATGAAATTATTACAGTAGTACAATATGCACTACAGTTAATTTTATGCAGTTAGGATTTATGACTCCATCTTAATGTTTGTTTACACTTTTCAGACTGTGAATGGTGCCATATATGCTCTGTAAGTTTAATACATTTTAGTTTTTTTATTTATTTATTTTTTTTTGAGTTGGAGTCTCACTCTGTTGCCCAGACCTCAGTCAATCCTTCCGCCTCAGCCTTCCAAGTAGCCGGAACTACAGGTGTGCACTACCACACCCGGCTAATTTTTGATTTACTGTAGAGACGAGGTCTTGCCAAGTTACCCGGGCTGGTCTCAAACCCACGGGCTCAGGCAATATACTTATCTCTGCCTCCCAAAGTGCTGGGATTACAGGTTGAGCCACCAAGCCTGGCAAATTTTAACTTCTATAAAGAAATTTTAGTGATTATGTTGCAGCACGGTTTTCACAGTAATACAGTAACATAGTAATACAGAGATAGTTATGTATTGTAACAATATCTGCATTAACTTTTTATAATAGATTTGTGTAACTTTTTATAACAGATCTGGTAGTGAATGATACAATAAATTAGTATCTACATGTATCTTACTCATTCATGGCACACCAGCCTTTTTCTTAATGTTTTCATTGTTTTTAGGTTATGCAGTTCATCTGTGATTTTTTCAAATTGTTGCAAGTCTTCACAAAATTTTCCAATATGTTTATTGAAAAATATCTGTGTATAAGTAGACCCAAACAGTTCAGGCCTGTGTTGCTCAAGGGTCAACTGTATTGTATTTATACATATTTCTGCATATATTTGATTGTAGATGTAGAGAAAGTGCTACACCCAGAACTATTAGTGATCACTTCTATGGAGTATGTGTTCTTGGTTTGATGGGGATAGGGAGTTAGGCAAGTCAGTCAATAAATATTTGTGAGTATCGGCTGTGTCCGTGTCATGTCTAATCTATGGGCATATCTCTGTAAGTAAGTCAGAGTCATTCCTCTGTGCCAGGTTCTGTGGCCCTTTATATACATTAGATCATTTGATTATCTGAATAATTAGATGTTATTTTATGTGACTTAGAACTTATCCTAAATTTTTTTGCCTACTTTAGTTCTAGGTGCTGAATAATAATGTTTACTTACTTAAGAAAAATTAAATTATTGTAATTGTCTGGATGAGCCTTTGGTTAACTGTACTTGATATATGTGACAAATACAAGATCTTTTTCTTTTAAGCCTTGGATCTTCTGTTCCATTTCTTTAAGATTACTACAGTTTTCCATTTCTCGTTCATTTGTACTTCTTTTTTTCCCCTCAACTTTAAAATTTAAATTGGAGAACTGGGCACAGTGGCTCACGCTTGTAATCCCAACACTTTGGGAGGTTGAGACAGGAGGATCACCTGAGCCCAGGAGTTTAAGACCAGACTGGGCAATGTAGTGAGACTCCTGTCTCTATAAAAAAAAATTTAGCTGGGTTCGGTGGCTCAGCCTGTAATCCCCGCGCTTTGGGAGGCTGAGGTGAGTGGATTGCCTGCGCCCGTGGGCTCGAGACCCGCCTGGGCATCTTGGCAAGACTTCATCTCTACAATAAATTAAAAAATCAGCCAGGCATGGTTGTATATGCCTGTAATTCCGGCTACTCGGAAGGCTGAGGCAGAAGGATCGCCGGAGCCCAGTGGGTCGAGGCTACAGTGACTGGGAGCGGCCACTGCACTCCAGTCTGGGCGACAGAGTGAGACTCCAACTCAAAAAAAAAAAAAAATTAAAAATTAGCTGGGCATGATGGTGCACAACTGTAGTCTCAACTTCTCTAGAGGCCAAGACAAGAAGATCACCTGAGCCCAGGAGTTCAAAGCTGCAGTGAGTTATGATCTCACCACTGCACTCCAGCCTGAGTGACAGAATGAGACCTCAACTCTAAAAAAAGCAAATAAAGTAAAATAAAATTTGAATAAGAAAGAATATAAATTTCTATTCTGTTAAAATTTTTCATGTTTTTATTTTGGAAATGTTCCGATCTTCAGAAAGTTGAAAAAAATAGTACAATAAATATCCATGAACCCTCCTAAGTAACTGGGACTACAGGCACGTGCCTCCATGCCTGGCTAATTTTTTTTATTTTTTGTAGAGACAAGGTTTTGCTGTGTTACCTAGACTGGTCTCAAACTTATGGACTCAAGTGATCCTCTTGCCTCAGTCAGACATGCGCCACTGCGCCTGGCCTCAGTCCTTCTTAATAGAAAGTTTTAGAAGCAGGTTTTTACCATAATTGCAATGATTAAAGATTATATGTTTATATGTATTTTTTTCCCTGAATTTTGGCCAAGGATTTGCAGTACTCATAGTTTAACAAAATATTTAAATTCCCTTAGAACTCTCACAAAATGAGGAGGAGGAGGAGGAGGAGGATGCATTTATTGAAGAAAAGCAACGAGAAGAAGAGAAACTGTTGGAGAGAGAGAGGTCAGCACAAAACACTTAAAGTGAATAAGGTTATTTTCTTGGAATATTATCAGTCTTTACTAACTAGTACGGGTTTTCTGTATAAAGTCTTATACAAAATAGGTCTTATAAAATATCCTGTATAAGCCATTTAAATCTGTAGTGGATGAGTTAAAGCTAGATGTTATATTTTTTAATGTAAGTATTTTTTACTAGTTTTTTTTTTATTGTAAGTGTTTATGAGACATAAACAAACCCACAAATAATTATCAAGTATTAAAAATGAAGAGGCTAGCCGGGCTTGGTGGCTCAGCCTGTAATCCCGCGCCTTTGGGAGGCTGAGGTGAGTGGATTGCCTGAGCCCGCGGGTTCGAGACCCGCCTGGGCAGGCGAGACCTCATCTGTACAACAAATCAAAAAATTAGCCGGGCGTGGTACCGCGCGCCTGTAATTCTGGCTACTCGGAAGGCTGAGGCAGAAGGATCGCCGGAGCCCAGCAGGTCGAGGCTGCGGTGGCCGGAGCGGCTACTGCACTCCAGTCTGGGCGACAGAGTGAGACTCCAACTCCAAAAATAAAAAAATAATAAATAAATAAATAAATAAATACAATAAAAATGAAGAGGCTTTAATAAACACAACACACCCAAAGATTGCCATTGTTAAGAAAGTGTATATTTATATATATTTTTCTGTAAATTGCTTTCTTGCTAAATATATAGTACATATATTTCAGTGTTGATGCAGAGGTCTGATTCAACCATTTTAATAGCGATACAGTATCCACTGTGCAAATTTTAGCATAATTTATTCTTTATTCATAACTTATTCATTCATAATTTATAGTTCGATGAACTTTCAGGTTATAATGATTTTTACTCTTATATGAAAAGTTGCAGGCCAGGCACAGTGGCTCACACCTGTAATCCCAGCACTTTGGGTGGCCAAGGCAGGAAGATCACTTGAGGCCAGGAGTTCAAGACCAGCCTAGGCAACAAAGCGAGACCCCCATCTCTACAAAGAAAAAGTAAAAGTTAGCCAGGTGTGGTGTCACGTGCCTGTAGTCCCAGCTATTCAGGAGGCTGAGGTGGGAAGATCTGTTGAGCCCAAAAGTTTGAGACTGCAGTGAACTATGATTGTGCAATTGCACTGCAGCCTAGGCAACAGAGTGAGACCCTGTCTCAAAAACAAACAGAAAGTTGCAGTGAGCATCAATGCTTATGTATCCTTGGTAATTGTCGTATTATCTCCTTAGAAAAGTGACTAGAAATGAAATTATTGGGCTCAAAAGATAAGTCCGTATAAAATGTAGATGGCCAGGTAGAAAGACCAGGTAGAAAGAGTTGTAGTTTGCAACTATAAATAAAGGCACTCATCTCTCTGTATCTTCACTCACACTAAGAATTATCAATTTTTAAAACTCCTATAGAGAAAATTTATATTTCATTGTTTCATATGCACATTTCTGAATTAGTAAGATTGAGTATCTTTTTACATGTTTTATTACCTATTTGTACATTGCTTAAGTCTTTTAACTTTTCCTTTTGAGATACATGTTTTTAAATTTGTTTTATAAACAATTTCATTACTTGATTAAGGATATTAATCCTTTATCTGTCATATGTATGATGCATATTTTTCTCACTTGTCATCAGACTTAAGTTGTCTTACGGAATTACTTACCATGGTTTGATTTTCATGCCATTAACTTTTGTCATGATATCTGGCCTCGGTGTCTGACTGAAAAAGTCTCCCCAACCCAAAATGACGAAAATATTCTGCTATTTTTTTCTCTTAGTATTTTTTGCAGTGTAGCACACACTAATGTGAATGTATTTATTGCCACTCATCTGTATACTTACAAATGGTTAAAATGGTAAATGGCGTATATATTTACAACTACAAAAAACTACTTTTTTAAAAAAAGAAGAAAAACATTATAGACATTCTGTAGCTATTTAGCAAGTTCACTGGAAATGTTGCTTCTTTTCTTATAATTGATGAAGCACACCAATAGGTGGAATTATCAAAATGCCAAAAAATTAAAATAGAAGAGCAGTAGTGATTGAGAACATGGAGTTGAATTCAGCCAGACCAGATTTGGCCTTGCTACTTATCAGCTGTGTTTAAGTTTCTTAATCTCTCTTAGCTTCCATTTCCTTGTCTTTAATGTGGAGATAGACTCAATCATAGAATCTACTGCATAGAATTGTGGAGATTAAATGCAGTGATACCTGTATAGTGCCTAACACAGTGTCAGCAGAGAGTTGGTACTATAATAACGCTAGTTCTTATTATTATAAATTTCTGTTATGATGAAGACAATATATATGTTGTATGAAATAGGAAAGTAATTTTTTCCCATTTATTTGAAATGCCTCTTTGGTCTTTGTTTATTTCTATACAGGGTACTACTTTATTGTTGAAAAGGTAGAAAATTAATTATGTGAAAATTCCATATGGCTTTATGTCCTATTTTAAAGCAGATATGTATCAAGTTATTAAATTTTAAAGTTTTTAACATTTTACTTTTTTTTTTTTTTTTTTTTTTGAGTTGGAGTCTCACTCTGTTGCCCAGACTGGAGTGCAGTGGCCGCTCCCGGCCACCGCAGCCTCGACCTGCTGGGCTCGGGCGATCCTTCAGCCTCAGCCTTCCAAGTAGTTGGAACTACAGGCGCGTGCTACCATGCCCAGCTCATTTTGATTTATTGTAGAGATGAGGGCTCGCCAAGTTGCCTAGGCGGGTCTTGAACCCATGGGCTCAGGCAATCCACTCACCTCAGCCTCCCAAAGGCATGGGATTACAGGCTGAGCCACCGAGCCCGGCCAACATTTACTTTTTGTGGTCTTAAATTTATATGCCATTTGGTCCAGTTGTCTACAACTGTATGTTCCTCAAAAGATTTGAAAATCACAATTCTGCTTGCTGAAACTTGTATATTGTACCCTCACCCATGCATAGGAACATTGACACATGCAGTGCACCAGCCTCTACTATAGCTAAAAGATGTATTCCTAGAATCTGTAGTTGGAAATGTAATGTATTTTTCCATAGACTATTTAAAATGGTAGTTAGGTTCCCAGGCATAAAACCTTACTTACCTCCTAACATTGCCAAAGTATTATAGAATAGTTTCTCATAGTTCATTTTCCCTTTACAAATTCAACAGAAAAGTGAAATCCAGGTTCTAAATACCTGATTGGCAAATAAACTTTGGAAATCTGACCCCTCTTTAAAATAGACACCTGTGATATTGGTTGTCCAAGATGATCTGAATGTAGTCTTATTTTTCTTCTTTGGCAGTGTAGGTGTTTGGAAGCAAGCCACCTCTTAACTGTGTAGAGTAGTAGTCCAGAGGATGCCAGATTCTCAGAGCCCTGCTATCATGGAATTGCCACTTTTCAGTTAATAGAATAGGAAGAAGGGTAATGCTTTCTGAATGTGAAAAGCTGTATTTGCTTTGAAACTTGATACTCATTTTACTGGCACCTAAACATCACTGTGATCAGCCTAAAGGGAAAGTCATAGTATCCATTTTTTCTTTCTGTAGAGGATGTCACAGATGTACATACGTATGAAATGTAGAAGTAGGATTTTAAGTATATATTACTCTGTAGGAAGAGAGCTGCTAATACTTGATGCTTTTCCAAAAGTTCTCTTCTTCTCTTTCTCCTATCCCCAGTTAACTGCTTTATAGAAAATATATTTCATGCTATTTTAATCGGTCTCAAAATGTATCATTTTGCTAGTGTGTGTGTGTGTGTGTGTGTGTGTGTGTGTGTGTGTGTGTATTTGTAGATTAGTGCCAATTTCTTTTATCTGATCACATCATTATATTGATAGGCAAAAATTACACGAGGAATGGTTACTAAGGGAGCAGAAGGCACAAGAAGAATTCAGGATAAAGAAGGAAAAGGAAGAGGCAGCTAGAAAATGGCAGGAAGAACAAGAGGTACAGTATTTAATCATATAACCAGTGAACTAATTAATTAACCCAAACAGCTCTCGTTAAGAGTTACATTTCTTGCTGGGCACGGTGGTTCACGCCTGTAATCCCAGCACTTTGGGAGGTGGAGGAAAGAGAATTGCCCGAGTCTGTGGGTTCAAGACCAGCCTGGGCAACTTGGTGAGACCTCATCTCTACAATAAATCAAAAAATTAGCTGGGCATGGTGGCGCACACCTGTAGTTCCAGCTACTTGAAAGGCTGAGCTGGAAGGATTGCCTGAGCCCAGCAGGTCGAGGTTGCAGTGGCTGTGAGTGTGCCACTGCACTCCAGCCTGGGCGACAGAGTAAGACTCTGACAAAAAAAAAAAAAAAGTTGCACTAAACTGATATTATCCATTTTACTAATGTTTTTAAAGTTTTTCATTTATGTGCCCTGTATGTTAAATGTTTTTAAAAGTGAATCTGAAAAAAAATATTACCTTCTCTTTTTTTTTTCCTTTAAAGAGAAAGTTAAAGGAAGAGTGGGAGGAACAGCAGAGAAAAGAGAAAGAAGAGGAAGAGCAGAAACTACAAGAGAAGAGAGAAAGAGAGGTGATTCCTGCCATGGGAGGATAAGCACTCAGCATATCCTCTGAGTGTATAGATGTGCTGAGTGATGGACTTGGAGAATAAACTGTGGGCATGTCAGGGTTTGGATTGTTTTCCTTTTTTGTTGTTGCTTCATTTGTTTGTTTGGAAAGTGTCATATTTTCAGTCTAGATATTCACTAGAGTTTCCTTATGATGCTCTTCTTTGGGTCTGTGCAGTGACAGATTTTTTAATTAAAGGTTTTGTTTTTTTTTCAACTTTACCCAGTTTACCCTTTATAACAGGGATTGGTAAGCTTGTAAAGAGCCACATAGCTAGTGAATATTTCATATTTTGTGGTTTGTGTGGGCTCTGGCAGACATCCATCTCTGCAGTGTACCCTGAAAGCAGCCATAGATAATATGTAAATGATGTGTGTGGCTGTGTTCCAGTAAAACTTTATTTACAAAACAGGCATCTGACCCTTGCTTTTACACTCTATACCAGTCTATAGCAAGTGGCGTTTTTCTCAGGTTCTGCTGTATATGGACTGACTCCTTTAGAAAATAATATTTTGTATAGTTTCCACAATTATTTAGTTCATAAGACATTTAACTACCTATGACATGTCAACAAGAATTAGTTGACTTGTAGAAATCAGAAACTTAAATATGGAGGAATTAGGAAATATTTTTTTTTTTTTTTTAAGTCTTCCTTTCCAACTTGGGCTATAATGATGGTTGTAACTAATATGCAGTTGCTCATTTTAAAAAAAATCTGGGGTTTATGTATGTATCTTATCTATCTTTTAAGATTCTTTTTTAAATATTGACATGGTATATTTTGCTGCTATTCCTTAACAGTGTATTTATTTCAAAGATATCACAGCTCATCTTTCCTTGACTGAATCATCAGGATGTATCTTTTCTATAATATTGCTAAATCTGAATAGTGTAAAATTGGATAATCACCTTACAGTGGGGATAATGCATGTGTTTATATGCTAGTCGTGATTGGGTAGAAGCGGCCTCCACAACTCTTGTGTTTTGTGTCTCAGGCCATCAGTTAATTTCAGTGCAGATTTTAAACACTCTTATTTGAGCAGTTTTCCCAATGAGCACACTACATTTTTAGGGGGCAGAAAAATTGTTTGGAGCTTGTCATTTTTTATAGAGAGGAATCGATTCCTTTTTAACAGGAGAATGTTCCTCAACTGAGAACTTTCAGGAATCAAGTAAAAGCTAAGCACTTTAAGAAGAAGTAGATTCTAAGCATATGTAAAGGAATATGCAATACATGTTTCTACTAGGTGCTAGATACTTCTCTAGTGGACAGAGATAGAGCAGTGAAAGACACAGTCCCTGTTCTCATTGAGTTTTTTTAGATGGAATATCATATGATAAGTAAGCAAAACAAGTCATTTTAAATGTGATAATAGTAAGTGCTATAAAGAAATAAAGATGGGGGTCATGTAACAGCACAAAGGGTACTTGTGTAGCTAATCCTGACTTGTACCCCACATCTCTGTAATAAAATAAAATAAAATAGAGTGATGAGCTAGACTAATGGGGCTAGGTGAGTACTTTATATTGCCTAGCTAATGTTTGCACTAACACCTCAGTGCAGAGATCTCAGGAGGAAGAGGCCTGAAACCTGGAGACTGAAAGAAGGCCAGGGGCCTGAAACCTAGAGATGGAAGGAGAAAGGGTCAGAGGGGCAGGGGTGGGAGTAGGCAGGGGCAGATCATGCAAGGCCTCCTGGATTTGAAGGAAGAATGTAGATTCTATGAAGGGTTTTTAAGTAGGAGGTGGCTTCATCTCATTTATATCTGTGCCTTTATAAGAAATGGGAGATGGAAGCAGTGACCAAGGCGGGAAGAGTGGAAATATGGTGACCAGTTAGTTAGAAGGCTGCTCTTCCAGATAAGAGGTGATGGCGCTTTGGATGAGGGTAGTGCTTAATAAAGGTAAGTACACAGATATGGGGTATGTTGAGGCAGAGTCAGCAGGACTCTAGCTAGTAGATTGAATGAGAGGGAGGAGAAGGAAAGGGAGTGGAATTCAAGCCATACTTTTAGATTTTCAGTTTGAATGGGTGGACAAATGGCAGCACTATTTACTGAGAGGAGCATTTAGGTGGGTGGGAGTGGAGAGGATAGAGGGAAACGAGTTCTGTCTTGAGCACATTAAGTTACCGAGGACTCTACATGACCAGATAGATTTCACATCACATACTGTTAGCCTCCAAGTAAACAGCCACACATGTGAGTCTTATGTAATGCTTTAAGGGACTAGGGAAGAGAAGAAGTCTGTTGAACATAATTTAAAACTTGTTGAAATGTCGCTTAGGTAAAAATTGACTGCCATATTGCAGAACTTCCTTTGTCTTATTGAAAAAAAGTTCTCCTAAACACCAATTACTACTAGTCACATCATATTTTAGCTTTCATTAAATGCTTATGATGTTTCAGTTAGCATTGTATCTTGTATCTGCTAATAGCTCCTCTTAAAAACTAGAACATGGTAAATATGTTCACATATACCAAATATTACTATTACTAAAACTGTTTTGCAATGTGCTCTATTAAATTTTCTATTTTAATAGAAAGTCTCAGCTATATAGCCTTTGAAAGCTTTTCAGAAGATCAATGCTTAGAAAAGAATATGAACCTAGCCGGGCTTGGTGGCTCAGCCTGTAATCCCGCGCTTTGGGAGGCCGAGGTGAGTGGATTGCCTGAGCCCGTGGGTTCAAGACCCGCCTGGGCAACTTGGTGAGACCTCATCTCTACAATAAATCAAAAATGTAGCCGGGCATGGTTGCGTGCGCCTGTAGTTCCAGCTACTTGGAAGGCTGAGGCGGAAGGATCACCGGAGCCCAGCAGGTCGAGGCTGCGGTGGCTGGGAGCAGCCACTGCACGCCAGTCTGGGTGACAGAGTGAGACTCCAACTCAAAAAAAATAAAAAAGAATATGAACCTGAAGCCCTGTGTTTGTGTGTGTGTGTGTGTGTGTGTGTGTGTGTGTGTGTGTGTGTACATGCTTTAATTGTTACACATGACATTCTTAACCAGTGACAGAGTGAGACTCCAACTCAAAAAAAATAAAAAAGAATATGAACCTGAAGCCTTGTGTTTGTGTGTGTGTGTGTGTGTGTGTGTGTGTGTGTGTGTGTGTGTGTACATGCTTTAATTGTTACACATGACATTCTTAACCAGAGAAACCAGATGTGCCTTACCTGACTTCTAGGTTTTCATTAGTCCTATGTTTGCACCATTTGTAGGAAGCTGTGCAGAAGATGCTGGATCAGGCTGAAAATGAGGTATTTTCAAAATCTTTCATTAAGAATTTGAGACCGATTAATGTTTCTTTAGAAACAATAGTTCCAGTAATGTTAGTTTTGTGGTAGGCGGTTTAGATCAAGTCTGGATATCTGAAATCACTTTCATGGCTCTTTGATTTACATAGCAACAATGAAAATTTATTGATGAACAAAAACAAATGGTATTGAGTCACTCCCATGGGTTCAATACCTGTTTAGAGTTTTTACGGAGTGTGTAAGCAACATCACATACTGTTAGCCCCCAATGGATGGTTTAGCTGGATTTAGTGTAACTTCTATTTCTCTCTGTTTTGGTTCCCTAATATGTCCTCGAACCCTTTTTAGAATGGATGGAAGCCTTGGTGACTGTCCCTGGTAGCAGTAGTGATGCCAGATAAAGGAGAATGACCAGGAGCTAAGAGAAAATCAGAGCTCATGTGCCCACGACAGTTATTTATAAAGTCTTGATTGCCTGTTACAACTTAAATGTTTATATTGTTAAATAAATAGTTTTTATTTTTGAGGAAAATGTTTTAATACATTTTGAAATATGTACCCTTTTATGGGTGTTTATACCATCAGTAAAGTCATGGTTATTTTCAACAGTTGGAAAATGGTACCACGTGGCAAAACCCAGAACCACCTACAGAGTTGAGAGTAATGGAGAAAGATCGAGCTAATTGTCCATTCTACAGTAAAACAGGAGCTTGCAGATTTGGAGATAGGTAACTAATTTTTTATTTTATCATGTCAGAATGAAGTGATTCAAAATCTTGAGGTTTGTGGGTTCTTTTGGGAGAGGTACAGGCTTCAGTTTCAAACGTCCGTCTGCTGTGTTTTTGCTGCTACTGTTTTTCCACAGCTGGTCATCCTCTGTTTTAGTATCCCTGTTTCTTCCATCCCTGTTCCCTGGATGGGTTTGGCCTAGCTCTCTCTGATAGTGTTTCCTTTGCATTCCATATCTTCAGAAAGCCCTTCTGCTGTTGGTTTCTTCTTGTGTTTGCATTAGTCCATGGTGGACAACTAGGATGTGGAAACGGTATATTTGAAGACATTGGAGAAGCCTGGCTTTATTTTTTGAATAGCAAACACTGTGCCCAAAACAGGCTTTTAAGACTGGGCCTGTGTAGAGGTATATCTGTGAAAGGATTCAAATGAGGGAAGGAGGGTATTTTAATTCCCACTCAGGAACAGACCCCTGGCTTCAAAAACTGCTTTCAGTAGATGTCACTTGGGGAAAATGACTTAAACTCTGTGCCTTAATTCCCTCATCTGTGAGATGAGACTAAACATAGATTCACTCTTTTGAGGGGACTGTGAGACTGAAATGAGTGAATGCATGGGAAGCGTGGAGGACAGGGCTGGACACACAGTGAACACTATCTGAGTGTTTACTGGTATTTTCATTATTGTTATCATTACTGTTATTCTCTGAGACACTCTTCTTGTTCCTTGCCTCTTTCGGATCAATGTTTTTGAAACGACATTCATGTGGAAATGTAGTGTTGGTCTCTTCAGTCATTTAGCAAATATTTGAACACCTACTATATACCTGGTAATGGTGATTTTTATAATTTGGCTTATTTATGAATGAACAACTTAAAGTAGATAAATAATTCCTAATGGTGAATGAATCCATCTGAGGCAAAATCTAATTATTACTATATATTTTGCAGAAGAGAAGATTCAGTCATAATCTTAATGTCCTATTAATCTTAAAAAGGGATATGAATAGTAAACTTCATATGTATTTAATGAGAAACTATGTTGTCAGTCACGTTTATTTTATTCATACAATTATCTATACTGTGATTTTTTTTTCCTTCTTTGAAAATATAGCCTTCTCTATCTGACTCTTCTTTTTTTCTTTTAACTTAAGCCTTCACACCATTTTTTCTTTTCTTTTTTCTTTTTTTTTTGAGTTGGAGTCTCACTCTGTCGCCCAGACTGGAGTGCAGTGGCCGCTCCCGGCCACCGCAGCCTCGAC